AGCAATTAGCTAGGCAGCAGATTTTTTGATAGCGTTTTTCGTAAGCAATTTTTGAATGAATCAGTAATGGTTTTACATTTATGCATGGGAATATATGTACATATGTATGTGTATGCCATTTTTCTCGTTATTTTTTAATGGTGCTCAAATTTCACCAAAAGTTACCCAAGAAGGCAGCGTCGAACCAATTTTGTTAGCTGCTGACAACAAAAGGTTAAAAATGGAACAGAAAAAATGCAAGATATAAAACTTCATGTATCGTGGCGCTGTCTAAAGCAAAGAAATCGAATATTGTCCAGAAAAAAAGGTTCTACCAATTCCATACACATATGTACATACATACATATGTCGCATATGCCAATCAGAGCAGCTGTAGTTTGTACATACATACATATGTATAAAGCAAGCAGGCAGTGCTGTGAAGCGCAGCGAGGAGGGTCATGTGTGAAGTGGTGGTCATATATCATTTTCATTTAATGGGCGCTTCGCAGCTGAATCCCATTTTGACCCTGAAATTTGAAATCTCTATTGTATGCGCACACATACATATGTACATACATACATACTTAGTCATAACAAAAAGGCATATGCACTCACACTAGCATTTGAGCTATAATTTGAATAAAACTAAAAAGCGAAAATATGAGCTTGTGTTGCCGCTAACAATGGCAGCGGGCGAAGCAAAAGGGGAGTGCCCGCAAAACAGGCTAAATTGTCGGCAAAGCCAAACCGGCAGAGTCATTTAAACCACTTCAGGGGACAGAACGGAGTTTATAGTCGATACATACATACATACATATGTATGTATGTAGGAATGGGTATATTACTTAAGTGCGGGATTGAAAAACATACGGACGCACATGTGCTTTTGTCACATATGTATATACATATATACGTTCATACATATGCTCACTTAAATTATTTAATAGTGAAGTATGTATTGTTGTGTGTGTGCTTGTGCTTCGCTTTGGCGTTGCTGTTAATCAACCGAAAAATAATATTAATGGAAACAGCTTGCTACTTCATGAAAAACTTATTACATTATTATCCTCGCATGTAATTAAAAAATAAAGTTTGAGTGGATTAAATGAGTTAGCTGCTTTTATTTTCGTTTGTAGTAATGATTTTTTGAATCATGCGACAGTAAGTTATTTAATTGGAAAATTATAGAAATTTACATGCTTATTAAGAAGCGTTAGAACATTTAAATGTTTTAATTTAATTAAGTTAAAATGCCAAAAGAGATTCCAAATTTCCAATTTTCGTCCAGTAACGTATTTTGTAGATTTAAGGTTTGCGAGCTTTTTTTAGAAAATAATATACATACAAGATACAAATTTTCTAGTCAAACAATTGTTTGGGTTATATTTATATTTTTTTACAAAAAACAAAGATTTTTTTTCATTCATTTTAGAAAAAAAACGCTTTTTTAAATTTTATAACGAAAAATGACTTTTTCATTCTTTGCAATAACATTTATGTGACAACTTAAAATATCGCATAAAAATTATGTTTTTAAAATTTTAGTTTTTAGCAAAATTTTTCGCATATGACTTAAATTATTTGTTTCAGAAAGTTATTTTTTACAAAAAAAACACAAAAATTGTTTAGTCAAACAATTTTACTGATTTTATTTGTTTTTTAATCTTAGAGAATAATGCCCTTTTTTAATAATTCCGTAACGAAAAATTACTTTTTCATTCGTTGCAATAAAATTTACTTAGCAACTTAAAATGTCGCATAAAAATTTTATTTTTAAAATTTTATTTTTCAGCAAAATTGTACGCAGATGATTTACTAAAATTTTTTTTTTCAGTTATGTAGTGTTATTATTATAATTATTACCTATTCAGAAAGTTATTCTTTACTAAAAACCAAAATGATTTGGTAAAAAAATCCTTTGATTATTAATTTTTTTGTTACTTTAAAAAACACATAATCCTTTTGTTTTAATAATTTCATAACGTAAAATAACTTTTTCATTCTTTGCAGTCAAATTTAGTTTACAACTTAAAATATCATATACAAATATAATTTTTCTAAATTTCAGGTTTGAGCAAAATAAAATATTTTTAACTTATTCAGTTAATTATAAAATTGTATACTAAAAAATAACGCAAAAGTCCAAATATTATTATTTTTTTTTTGTGATAAAACGGAAACTATCAAAATGGGGCAAACATATTTTATTATTAAAATATATATTAATATAAATTATCGTAAGAAATAAAAAATAATAATTGTAGTTGTTTTCCATTGAATTTTTGACAAGTCCGCCAAATACTCGTGGCTTTTGGGGTTTTCGGACCTTTTAGATTGCTAAGTAAATCCGTTTGAACATTTTTAAGATAAAATTTATATAAGGCAATGAAAATTTATTCCAAAAAATTTTTTTTTAAATTTTAAGTCGCGAGATATACTGAAATTACGCTTAAAAACTTACATTTATATAAAAAACTTGAATTTTGTCGCCAAAAGCTGAAAGTTGAAAGCTAAGGCAAAGACCTTAAAAATGGTTCTACGGTTTCCTTAAACTCGAAGTACTCGAAAAATACGTATTTATTACAAATTTAGACTGTTGTGTTAGTTTTCCAGGATTTTCGAGAGCCCTTCAGCTAAATGCGGGATTGCCGCGGGAATTAAAAGACAAAAATTTTAATTTTAAATTTGGCAACTGAAAAATAGCTTCGCAGACATGTTAAGAAAGTAAAATATTGAGTTCATTTCCATATTAAACTTAGTGAATGGCACTAATTTTTTAGCATTTAAAACGTACTGAGAATACGGCGTAAGCCTAATAGGTATCTAATGAATTACATAATTTCAATGACGTAGTCGTATGCAAATATAAACTAAAAACAGGTTAAATGTATGCAAAACCGAACAAGAAATAAAAATTGGTGGCCAAACGAACTGAGAATTTAGTTAAACATTTTCGATTGATCTACAAAAAATTTGCCTCGTAAATTGATTAAGTTCTAATTAAATTTATTTCGTAATCCAGTTTTATTTTCTGTTCTCAAAATAAAAAAACATTTGTATATAAAACCAGGCTTTAGCAGAAATGCAAATGGTTTGGCAAAAAGTTGTTAATTTAATTATATACTTACAATTAATACTGTTTTAAATGGATGACAACACGCAATAAAAAACAAGCTCATTTAGAAATGAATGCTAACAGTAGTTAATTAAGTTAATAAAGCGAAGTGAGAACTGAAGGTAGCGTGCAAAAAATGTATAAATTCAGAAAAATAAAAAAGAGTTTTAGCTTTAAGCAAAGTTTTGTAATAATTTAAAAAGTGCATAACTTAAAATAATCTGAAATTTTTATCTAATTGATTCTTTATTGATTATAAAAATGTTTAAAAACAAATTTTCTAAAACTTGTAAAAAAAAATACTTCGAATCTCTCGAAAGTCTTAACCGGCTTTATTTCAAACATTGGAAAAGGCTTTTGAAAGGGATTATTTAGAATAGATAAAATTCATAAAAAATTATTAATGTGAAAATTAAAAAAAAAAATATTATTTATGCCCCAGTGCGAAAAGCTTAGAAAACCTCTGAAAGTTAAGAAATATATTTCAAATTTAATAAAAAGATGTGAAGTGGCTATTTAATAAGTATCAAAATACGTTCGTAATTTTCCAGAACGCATAAAACTAAAAGAAAATTAACACTAATATTGCAAAAAGCTTCAAAAAATTCAAAAGTCTCGGAAATTCTAAAATTTTAACTTCGAAAAATTTTAACCAATAGCAAAATGGTATTGAATTTTTACAGAATAAATATAGTTACTCGCAGATATTAATACTTAATTTTTTCAAATATCTACCGCAAAATCCCTAAAATTGAATCTGGAGTATAACAAACTTTCCAGCTTTAAAATTTACCAAATGNACTAATATTGCAAAAAGCTTCAAAAAATTCAAAAGTCTCGGAAATTCTAACATTTTAACTTCGAAAAATTTTAATCGATAGCAAAATGGTATCGAATTTTTACAGAATAAATAAAGTTACTCGCAGATATTAAAATTTAATTTTTTTAAATATCTACCGCAAAATCCCTAAAATTGAACCTGGAGTACAACAAACTTTCCAGCTTTAAAATTTACCAAATGATTTACTTTTAAACGCAGAAATATTTTAATAAGAAGCTTCCTCAAAACACCCGCCATTGTTTCGAATGACGAAAAAATCGACATAAACAAAATTATGATTCTCAAAATATTTCCATAAATTTTCTGTGAATATTTTTAATTTACGGATATTTTGCTTTTTAATTAATTCTTTGTCATACTGAGGCAACCAAGTAGTGCTTACGGACTCTACACGTAAACGGAATGGGTTAATAAATGCACGTAAATTTCTAAAGTAGAAAAGTCTTTGAGTGCACACAATACAAAAGAAAGAGTTGAAAGGTTATATTTTTTGTAAAGATTCGCTGCCAATTCAGAAAAATCGTATGTATCCATTTTTTCCATTTTACGATTTCTTTTTCCGTAAAATGTGAAAATTTCTCAGTCTACGTTTAAATATGAAAAAGAAACACACNTGTGAATATTTTTAATTTACGGATATTTTGCTTTTTAATTAATTCTTTGTGATACTGAGGCAACCAAGTAGTGCTTACGAACTCTACACATAAACGAAATGGGTTAATAAATGCCTGGAAATTTCTAAAGTAGAAAAGTCTTTGAGTGCACACAATACAAAGGAAAGAGTTGAAAGGTTATACTTTTTGTAAAGATTCGCTGCCAATTCAGAAAAATCGTATGAATCCATTTATTCCATTTTGCGATTTATTTTTACGTAAAATGTGAAAATTTCTCAGTCTAGGTTTAAATATGAAAAAGAAACACACCTCTATGTAAGTATGTGCATACAGTTGTAGAAACTACGAACGCACAAACACTCGCAAAAACTGTTTAGCAATTAACAAATCAACATTAAATGTTTAATATACATATATAAACCTTAAGAAAAAAAGCCCATTAACTCACCTTTAACTTTACTTGAACCGATGACACCGAATTGTCCCTGATATTGATTTTGTACTGAGAGCACTTCCATTTTCTGGCGCAGCTCCTCGAAGACTTGATCGATGTGGATCAAATCGTTGGCGTGACGATCCACCAGCTCGGCATCTAGTTCGAATTGTGCTTCGAAATCACCGTCAGGCTCACACTCACACTCGCACTCGCGTCCACGCTCTGCCGCTGCCAGTGTCAATTCTGCTGCTTCGCCGCTTTGGCCTGCGTCCAGCGCCTCTTTCTCTTGCTCAAGCGAAGCTTTGATATCGATTTCAGCCTCGCTGTCGTCGTCAATATCACTGAGGTTGGCGCCGATGCCTCTTCCTTCGACTGCTCGCCGCCGCTGCGCCTCCACTTCGTTTTCGACCACACTTTCAGGCGCGTCTTCAACCTGCGACCACTTAGTAACTGTTCGCCGTAGCGCTGTAGCTGCGTACCCTCCTCGCTCTTGCCTACGCCGCTGCTGCTGCTGTGTGACCGCGTCAACACGTCTTCTAAGCCTTTGGCTGCTGCTGAGCCTTTCCTTACGCTGCTTCTGCCTGCTTTTGGCCGCAGCCGCTTCGTCCAAATATCTCGACGTCTGATCGACTGTAGTCGCTTCGACGGCTGCTTCCGTAACCGGACTGGGCGGTATGTCGACGGCTGCGCTGACGGCGCTAGCGGTGCTAACAAGCGCAAATAGTTGTTTAATGCTTGTGGTGGTGGTGGTGGTGGTGGTGGAGGTGTTGTTGGTGGGTGAGTTGCCGCTGGCGCTGATTGCCGGTGTGCTTGTGTGCTGATAATTGGCGGCTCCTCCTGTGCTCGCTTGCCCTCCTGCTCCTGCTGCTGCTGCTCCGATTGCCGTTGTGGCTGCTGTGTTGAGTTGGTTGTTGTTGCGCGTTGTTGTAGTGTTGCCAATTTTAATGTTGTTAGCGCCGCAGTTACCTGCAGCGTCCGTGTGACGTTGGAAAAAATTCTGATTTGTGAGGGTGCGGCGCGTGCTGCTATTATTTTTAAGGAATTTGTGTTAGTTTGCTTATTTCTTTTAAGAATTTTCTTCTTTAGGTTAGGTTGATTTTTCAATTAAATTACGCTTAGAAATGCACTTTAATCACAAATATTGTTTCTTTTGTATTTTATTCGGTTTTTTTTATTTTTTTAATAAAATTAACACACAGTTAGAAAAAACGTAACACAAAACGGCACAAAATTGCTATGCTACTCTCCTGCTACTCTAGCTAGAATATCATGCGATGACTGTCGCGCGCGGCTGCCTGTCTCCCGCCTGCTTCCTGCGTACTTTTCAGCTACTTTAGTTGTCATTCGCTTTACGACACATTTTCACCATTGTCGCGTGGGTGTTAGTTGTCATTCGCTTTACGACACATTTTCACCATTGTCGCGTGGGTGTGCGCTCGTAAAACTCGAACTGGGTTGCTTTGTAGTCTTCAGGCTTATGCTAAAATTTTAGTAGTTTTTTCTTGCGATGTTGTTTTGTTTTGTTTTTATAACAATTATTATTAAACATTAATTAATTTGTTGTGGCTATTTGTAGCAATAGTTGTTGCTTTAGACGTTTACTTTTTACTTATTTAACAAAAACGTAATTTGAAAATAACAACTAAGTTCAATTTGAAATTGTCTTTGCATGGGCGCCGTTACGCAAATTTGTTATTCTAATTTGTTGAGTTTTTGTATTATAATGAATTGTTTATTAGTTATTGATTATATTTTATTACTTTGTAATTTGTTTGCTGTTGGTTATTTAGCTTTTATTTTTATTTTTAATATTTTTATCTTCTTTTTTTTTGGTATTTTAAAAAGGCGTTAAAAAAGGAGTAGTTATATATTTGTTATACCGCTGCTGCTTAGATTTGTATTAGTTTAAATTTCTATCATTACTTTATACGTTAAATTGCTCTCGCATGGCTACGCAGTTGCTTGTAAATATTTTTCGTTAATGATTTTGTGACCGCTGCTTTGGACATGAAAACTTGATTTTGCCGCAAGCCGCTTCAATTCACATTTTCATTAACGGTTTGTGTAATTGCTCAGTTTTTGATTCAAAGTTTATTTGTTATTAATATTTTTTAATGATTTTTATTAGCTTTTTAAAAAATGAAATGATTTTTATCCCTGCACTTGTGTGGTTTTATGCGCTACGCCTAAACAAATTTCCTCTGCAAGCTGCTGCTGCTGCCTCCATTCGAATCTCAAACTTTGGCAAGGCTTAGTTTTCTCAAAAATCGCAAATTCTTCCGAAAACTGGTCCTCCACTTGCTACTACCCTCAGCTGCTATGCTTGCAATATGCGTTGACTTGCTGGATTTTTTCACTTCCGCAATCTTTTTTTTCTGTTTTGTTTTGTAATTTTTCTTCACTTTTTGCCTTCCGGCCGGCTGGGAGTTTCCTGCAGCTGCTGGTTTGCTTATTCAGCTCTATGCACTGCTCTTCGTAGGCTTCGTCTTCGTCGACAACTCCTTGTTTCTTCCACTCATTCACAGCACTAAAATATCACTTGATTTTATTTTCGTATTTGTAATTTGTTAAATTTGTGGTTTCGCCTTTTTCTGCGCACTTGTTTATCTACGTTTTGTGTTTTAAGACGGCGCTGGCCACTTAACTGCGTTCCTCCAAGCGCCCTTCCTGCCGGAAGTCCGTCTGCAGCTGTATTGCCTTTTCACAAAAATATTTTCGCCGCCTTTCCTTCCCCTACTTGCTTTGTCGACCCGGCCCGTTTGTGCTTCTTATCTACGTTTTATTTTTCACTTTTACTTCTTTCCACTTTACTTCTCATTCTACGTACTTTTGTGGTTTCTTGAGCTGACATTCACAATTTAATTGCGGCTTTTGGCTTTCTTCCACTGCCACAGACTGTTTTTTTTTTCACTGCCGTTTCCTTGCTCACACTGCTCGCTAGCTTTTGTGTGGCTCTTTGAGCGCTTTTATCTTTGCTGCGGCGTGCTTTCTGTAAGTTGTCAGCAAGTTCTTTTGCACTTTTTCCGGCTTCTTTGTGGCGACCACAAATTCCTGTATGGCAAAACTGAGACTTCTTCGGCGTATTTTCTACTGCTTACTTGCTTTCTTGTCTGGCGTCTGCTCGGTCTCACCTGTTTCGTCCTTTTTCTTTCACTTCGAAATTGGATTTATTTCATAAATGTCACTTCCTTTTCCTTTTCAGCAGCCTTTCACTAATTGCCTTCTATGCACTTTCTTTTATTTTTCTTCGCGTCTATATTTTCTTACCATTTGCCGGTGGATCCACTGTAGCTTTTTGTTGGGTACGCGTCGTCTCGTCACGCCACGTCTTGGAAAATTTTCGTTTTTTTTTTACTTTGCGTGAGCTGGTCGCTCCTCTGCTTGTCGTCGCCGTTACCTCTGTGATTTCACCAAATTCAATAGACGTTGCTTAGTCGACGCTCTCTCAGCTGCTACTGACGTTCACTGCCGCTGGCACGGTGCTGGCAGGCTAGATTTCTTGGCTGTCTGGCTGGTTCTGGCTCAAAAGCGCTCGGATTCACACTCTCAGTGGCGGCTGCTTTGTGGGGCTGGCGGAGATATCGGTTGCTTGTTTGTCGGTTGGAGCCTCTTTGGCTCAGTAGCAGTTTAGCCTACTCGCAGCTGATTTGCTTTTCACTCATTTGCTACTGGATCTTTTTTCTGCTGACGCTGAGTGCTTGCTGGTTGGTGTTGAAATGGTTGTTTTTCGTTAGCTTTCTGTACTGGTTTTCTTCTGCTCTGCCAGTAGGTATGACGCGCCTGACTCGTGCTCTTTGCTTGTAATGTGTTTTTTTTCTTCTGCGGGTTTTAAAGCAAATTTAAGGTCTTCTTTGCTGTAAAAATTTAATTTTGTGGTGTTCTGCTGAATTTCGTAATTTTTCAAAGGAAAAACATTACCCTTTTCTTCATTTTCTGCGTATGGGCAGAACTACGGGATCTTAGCTTGTTTTTGGGCTATTTCTGGTTGTATTATATGATTTTTGCTCTGGTTTGAATTTTATAGTTTTCATTGCATTTTCAGCGTCTCTGCTGCATATTTTGTTAAAAAAATTTTACACAATCTTTTTTTGCAGTCAATTTACAAAAAAATTGCATTGGTCAGCTGTTTTACAGTGTGGTCGTGTGTGTGTTTCGCATGTACCTATTGGAAAAGCACAAAAAATGGCTGGTTTTGCTCAAATGTCTGCCGCTATTGAGTTTTGCTTTAAATGTCAAGTCTGTTCTTTTTCGATGGCTGGTCTATTGGCTCATTGTGAAAGCTAACAACAGTTTTTATGCAATATTTTCTGGCTAAAGAATATTTTTGTCTCTTAAAATTTTCATGCAGCAGTCCTTGTATTTTTTATTTCTGTTTGCTGCCCGTTTGGGATTTTGGTTGCCTTAATGTCACTGTCGTTGCTGTGGTCGTCGTTGTCTTTGCAGGCGTGCAGTTTATTGAATTGAATTCTGAAATGTTCCTCTTCTTACAAACCAATTTCCACGTTACGTTTAACCAGCAGAGTTGTTACGAAGCTACTGGATCCGACCGGCTCAAAGTGCTGCTATTTATAGGGCTACCCAGGCCGTTACAATCAACGATTTTTCCATGCACAGACGGGCCATCAAAGCAGCAACAGCAGCAGAACAGCAAAGCAAGGCAAACCAACCCAACAGGCCAATCCACAGACCGACCAACCAACAACAACGACCCGGCTAACGATTTGTATCTGACAGATCCCTACTCTCCGCTTACATTACACACCACAATGCAACGCACATACATATGCAGAGAAGTGCATGCATGCGTGTATGAGTGTGAGTGTTTGCATCTAATTGTCTGAGTGACTTCTGGCAATCGAATTGAGCTGAGCGCCACTATTAGTGAGGCTCCTATTCGCACCGATGCCACCCCCAGCTATATGTAGCTCTTTGCCTTGCGCTCAGCGCACGCATTCACTCTGCTCTCACTCACTCTTCTTCTATGTCATAGCCTGAGCGTGAGTGTGAAAATGGGTGCGCTCGTTTGTTCTCTTTGCACAGCTGAACTGTACAGAACATCTGTTTCGCCAGCTCCAGCAATCAGCTGATTTTTTTCTTCACTTCTCCAATTGCGCACGCACAGATGTTTTGCTTAGCAAAGGGAGGGGAGCGTGAATTCTGAACAAATGGGATTGAGTGTGTGCGCTTAGCGATTGAGCTGGAGTTGCGCGCTCGACAACACTGAATAGATAGTGAGAGGTTTGGGGCTGGTTCTCAATAGGCAAGTCGACTTGCTATGGGTAGTTCAAAAGAGCGGAGAGTTTAGTTTTGTGTGAAAAAGGGCAGATTTCAAGGAGGCTGATGGAGAAATGAAATACTCGAGAATTGAAATGGAAAAGTAAGGTTTGAGTTTTGAGAATGAGCCAACGGAAAGCGCATTTCTTGCTCAAAGAGAACCGCATTAACTTATTGGAACTTCGTTGATAGACATGATTTGCATGGTTTTGAGTACTTGTTTGTATGGTTATAAGAGTAGTTAGGAAAAAGCTGGCGTGTATAAAGAATCGATAAAGAAAAGAGAGCGAGAATCACAAATGACTTGCAAATTGCAGTCTTTGAGTATATTTAGAGTGAATTCTAGAAGGCGCATAAGAAGAGAATTTCTTAGTGAACATCAGACAATAAACAAATTTCCGTTAATGGCAGCGCCTGCAAACAAAAAATACACTTCATTCATCTCGCGCTAAACATTGAGTGAAAATATAAGTGCATTTACATAGCAAATGTTGCTCTTAGAATTCAGAAATATTGAAGTAAGAGTTAGATTGAAGTAAATACAATTTTGCTCAATGGAGAACATTTAGTTCTCGCTAAGTAGTTTCTATAATTTTTTTTTGTTTTTTCAGAAGTTTGGAGACTGCGACCACAAACTATTTTCCAGAACCCGCATATTTTCCAAAAGCAGTATACATACGTAGTTCCTGAAATGGTATACCTGGCTTTAGTATTCCCTAGAAAATTGACGAATATCTGCCACTGCTCATAAAAATTGATTTTTCCACTCACCTCAGCACTCACTTGTTTCTACGAGATTCTCATTTTTTTTCGCTCATGCTCTACGAACGCACCTTTGCTGCCACTAATTGATTTTTCCCAAAACGGAATTTCTCTTTAATACCCATTTCGCTGAACATTTACGTATGTAAATACAATAAATATGTATATATTAACTATGTACCTTACAGCTTTTCTCACTCAATCTCCGCTTTTTGCTGCAAACATTCACTCACTTTCTCAATTACTTTGTTGCTTTCGCTCCTCGCGCATCCCTCCTGCATGGCCTACGTGACTTTTTATAGTCCAGAAATATGTTTTCATTTGTTCTCGTTTACTGCTCAGCTGTTTTTCACCCTGTAACACACGCGTGTGCACATGCACTTGAACAATTCATTCACTCATTTTCATCACCATTGCCTTTCACTCACAGCTGCGCTCAGATGGCTTAACGCAGCAGCAGCTGAGTTCTACCTCGCACAGACATTTACATATGTATCTGCGCTCAGCTGATTCTCGTCTCCACTTGCTCCCAGCCCTGATCTATCAGGCAGCCACTTGAGCACTTTCAGTCGCCCTTTTGCTCTTCGATGCATGGATACTAGGTTTTTGTAAAATGCGCTCATAGTTTTGACCTCCTTTCCACTCTATATTACTTTTCTCCGGCTTTTCCAACCCCATCCTCCGCGCAGTCTCATTTTGCCGGCTATTTCCTGTGTGTCAGCATGAGTTCTATTGAAATGTCAAAGTGCTCTTCCTCTCTCTTTCTACTGAATTTGAGTTGTTTTCTTTTCATTTCTCACTCGCTGCCGCTGACAACTTCTGCCGGTTACATGGTTTTTGCCGACCTTTAATCTTTTTGTGTACCTGTGTATTTGCGCCTCCTTTTCATTCCATTTTCTTCTTTGGTGTGCAAGCACTGTGGTTGGGTTGGCTGATTTGGCTCTGAATTGCTTGAGTTTACGTGCTGCTACATTTTGGCTGTGCTGTAGTTATGCCTAATGTTTTTTTGTCATTCAAGTTTTAAGCATTTCGCATACAAAGTGGTTCTAACGTGATTGTGCATTGATCGTTGTGTGAATTAAAGAGATTTGGTCGATTGTACTCTTCCATAAGCGGCCGTAAAGGCAATGATTCAAAATCAAATTAGTTATGAAATTTAAAACATTTTTTAAACAATAGTTGCGATCCCTAACTCGCAAGAAGCTGCAAGAATTTACAGAAATTTACCAGAAAGCGTTTCCGTACTCGGTTCTCTGGCTTCTGTTGCTTTTGGACAGTTTTACAGGTTTTAACCCAGAAAAGATGGGGAACGCAACTAATATTATAGGTATTGTCTTCCCAGAGAGCGCATATTCCGATCTGCCTTATTTAAAAAATATCATTGTTGCCCATATTAAGAGCTTTACTGCTAGGGAAAAGGGATATTTCCATACCCCATATACCCTATATGTACACGTATTTTTTTTTTAAACAAACCTCCTTGCAGAGAATTTATTTAATTGGCAAAAAAACATTTGCATGTAAATAAATTCAAAATTTGTATGGCTCACTTCATTTCAAACGGGTTTTTCTTTTCTTTTGAAAAATTATAATATTTAGCGGAGACAAAAAGCAAAGCCAAATAAAAGTAAAAGAATTAATATTGTATTGCGTCAAAATGAAAATAAGGGAGCACGAATTTCGATGTGAAGCAAAACTCTCTGGGAAGACAATACCTAAGGGATCCCCATATTCGGTTTCGGAGACAACAAAAATATATATATATTTTTTTAAATAAATTCTTTGTCCTATTTGGCCCTCAAATGATCTCAGAGCTGGCATTATGAAGGTTAACGGACCGCGGATTTGGGTTCAGCGAATCTAAAACTCCATATATATGAATTTTCAGGTTTATTCAATGAATTTTTCCCAACTTGACCTTCAACTGACCTCGAACCTGACGTGATGGAGACTAAAAGCATAAACAGACGGCAGCATTGATCCGGATCAAGTCGGAAATTAACCGCAGTTGATCCGGATTAAGTCTGAGTTTGCTTCCTGTCGTGGCCAGGATTTTACTATTGAAAAATCGTATGACCAAAATTGCAAAAATGCTAGCCGCTGGATATAGTGCATTAAATTTCAAAAACTTTAAGGTCATGAGAATCGGACCAACTACATTTGATTAAGCGGGTCAAATGATGAAAAATAACAAAGGATTTGCAATAGTTCGTTACCATATTTTTTATATCGATTTGTCGTGGACAAAAAAAAAAAATTGTTAACCAAAAAAAAAAAATATTTTTATTGAGCTTGAGGCCGTTTTTAATGAAAACCTTATTGCGGAAAAGCAACAATAATTTGAAAAAAAATGGTAGAAGTGATAGCTATTTCGGAAATCACCACATTTCCTCATCAGACTTCTTTCAGTAGGATTCGAACCGACGATCCCACTGACTCAGCCAGTTGCCTAAGCACTGCGCTAAGTTCGTCTTGTAAATTATCGTTGCTTTTTTCCACTTTTTCACTTGTTAAGCCTACACAATCAAGCGCCGCTATTCCGCTGCAATTCCCGAAGTCTGCCTTAAAGCATAAACAGCCGGCAGCGTTGATCAGGATTAACTCGGACTTAATCCGGATCAACTGCAGTTAATTCCCGACTTGATCCGGATCAACTCTGCCGGCTGTTTATGCTTTAAGGCAGTGTAGACAGCCCGCAATGGATAGGATTTAATTGAACAGATTGCAATTCCAGACAATTTGTGGGAATGTTTCTATGTTGAAGAGGATGAGACGGCGGAGCACTTTTGTGTCACTAACCCGCCTTTGCAAGGATTAGATATAAGGTTTTTGGAAACGATGTATTTGTATTGGGTACCAAAGAACCCAAAACGATTTGCTTGCGATTTATTCGCAAACCAAGCAGATTTAAGATTTTAGCCTGACTGCTGTTTTCTGGAAGCATTGTTTTGTGCTTTTGGTTAAACGACTTGTGAGAACTTTGTGGCAGATCATAGGCTTCTGGAAATGTTTTGAGAAGTCCAATAGATCCTTAGCTCGCAGTGTACAGCACACAATACATAATTTCTTTCTACAAAAATGTGCAGACACTAATCAAAAAAAAAAAAGATAAAAAATCCTGAGTACTTTTTGCGTACGAAACTTTTTACGTGATTTTTTTAGGCGAAATTTCTTCTTTCAGGGTTCTTGATATTTTTGGAATATGTAAGACCAAATAAAACTTTAAACAAAAAATATTATAAAATCAAAACCTGTTATTGTTATCCCTTTAGAATTTTTCGACCGCTGTTACTTAGAAATTAAATTTTTATTTCGAAAACTAAAAGATGGTCTCACCCAAAATTTCCGACACTTTGTTTTAAAATATTATTTCAGCTGCTCATTGTTTGTAATAATTATTAGCGAGGAAGCCTAGACCTACATAGTACTTTATTGCCAAGCATGATGGCTGTCTCAAAAAATAATTAATATTTAGAAAACTAATAACCAACTGCATGCATTTGTATGTATGTATGTACATATTGTTGTGTGTAATAAACACAAATAACTCGAATGTCATATGTACGCATATTTAGAACTTAATTTACTTTTGCCCGCAGTCTTACACAATTACATGCATACATACATACTTATTAGGAATGTTAATCCCGGGATGCCGGGTT